TCCTTTTTCCAGGACATGTTTGGTGCTGGCATCGAGTCATCTTCGACAGTATTGGAATGGACAATTTCTGAATTGATAAAGAATCCAAGAGTAATGGAAAGAGCACAAGCTGAAGTGAGGGAAGTCTTTAATAGAATGGAAAATATTGACGAAACAGGTATTATTGAAATGAAGTTCTTGAAACTAGTGATAAAAGAGACTATGAGGTTGCATCCTGCTGTTCCTTTGTTACTTCCAAGAGTATGTAGAGAGAAATGTGAGATTAATGGGTTCAATGTACCTGCCGATATGAAAGTCATTGTTAATGCATGGGCGATTGGAAGAGATCCAGAATATTGGGATGAACCTGAGAGTTTTAATCCTGAGAGGTTCATTGATAGTTCTAATGACTATAAGGGTACTAATTTTGAGTACCTCCCATTCGGTGCTGGAAGGAGAATGTGCCCTGGAGCTTCATTTGGTCTTGCCAATGTGGAGCTTCCACTAGCAATGTTGCTGTATCATTTTGACTGGAAACTTCCTGATGGAATGAAGAATGAAGATTTGGACATGACCGAGTCCTTTGGTGCTACACTCAGAAGGAAAAATGATCTGTGCCTGATTCCCATTCCCTATCATCCATAGCCTAATGCTTAGGCTCTAAAGTAATCAATTTCTGTTTGTTTATGTTTTCTGCCACCATTTACCAATAAGCATATTAGTTAGTTTGAGATTGACGTAATTTTAAAAATGATCACTTTTAATGTAACTACCTCTGCCTCGCGCTAATATAATTCTGTTGAATAATACTATGTCTGTCAGAAATAATAGTAGTAATGAATATATGAGTGAATACAAATAATAGTACTAACACTTAGTAGCAACCTAATTATGATAAGAATTCTTTATGGGTCGCTAGCGATCTTGTCCAAACTGCAATTAACATCATTGTTATGAAATTGCCATGAGAAAAAGATAGAAGACCATGTGTTCATGAAGCAAAACAAAGCAGGGGTGAATAATCCCAAAGAATTAGCTTAGCGGTCAAAGAAGTTTGCTCTCTTCATTGATTGCTTGAGTTTGAACTTTGAGACCACCTATCAAATTGTGACTTACCAGATGCTTTGGGCTTGTAAGATATTCAATCGACCCAAGGATTAGTTGAGGTGCACTAAAGTTGGCCTGAACACTCCGGTTACCAAAAAAAAAAAAAAAAAAGCAGTGGCTGAGGCTGAGGCTGAGGCTGACGCAAAACATGTTTCATTAGACTGAAAGAACTCCAATACAGAACTTGACAACCGCAGCAGCACCATGACAAATGAGCCACAACATAATTTCTATAGTCTAAAACATTGACAGCACAAGTTATGTCCATGAGTTCAAATACGCCAAAAAAGGTTTGAATATTTTTAATAGACAATCAGATGGGATTCAACTGTTGGGTAAGTTCAATAAAGATGAAAACACAAAAACTACATGAGAGTTTTTTTTCGTTGTATTTATACATCACCACTCGATATGCAAACAAATGTGGCATTGACATATCATTCATTCACATTTATTGAGTATTTAATTGAACTGATATTTTATTTTTAATTCCGTTGACTAAGATAGATTTAAATACTTTATCATAAGTTCTGATAATGTTGGTTTCAGCCGGAGATAATGTGAGAGAATGAAAAACAGAGCATCGTAAAAAGAAACTAATTTTGATCAGAAAGCTTGTCATATTCATTGAAGAAAGACAGTATATAGCACTTAACAACTCTCTGCTAATTACATCAACTACAACAGACATTACAGCTTTCAAAATTCAAAAATCATCACACATATTACTTCTAAAACACTTTACTTAAATGTCCTTAATTTCCTAAACAAGTTATTACACAAAAGCACTCCCATGCACGTTAAGAACACTGCTGCATGTAACCTTCTGCATCTTCCAAACACAAACTTGAAGACTTGACCACTTGAAACATTTCCAGCAAAGCATCACCACATCAACACTCCCCCTTGATGCACATGCTGGAAACACCAAGTTTGAGTCTTAGTTCCTCAAACTTGGCTTTAGGCAGACTCTTAGTCATAATGTCTGCAATCTGGTCCACACCCCGGCAGTGCAGCAAAGTCACTTCCCCATCATTTTCAGCCTCCCTAACTGCATGAAATTTAATCTTTATATGTTTGGTCCTGCCGTGGAGGACTGGATTCTTTGCCATTGCCACTGCTGATTGATTATCACACCATATAGAGGTTGGCTTATCTTGATCTTGCTTCAAATCAGCCAGAATTTTTCTGAACCATGCAGCTTGGTTCACTGCTGCTGCGGCAGAAATGTACTCTGCCTCTGCAGTGGACTGAGCCACTGAGTCTTGCTTCTTTGACAACCAACCAATGGCACCTTTATTGATGTAAAACACATACCCAGAGGTACTTTTCATGTCATCTACGGAACCTCCCCAGTCACTGTCTGTGTACCCCTGCAGAACCAATTTTTCTGCTCTTCTAAACCAAATTCCCAGATTTGAAGTTCCTTTCACATACCTTAACACCCTCTTTGCTGCTCTCTGATGTGATTCACTCGGACAGCTCATGAATCTAGAGAGATAACTCGCTGCAAACATCAGGTTTGGACGTGTGGCTGTCAAGTACAACAAACAGCCTACCAGGCCTCTAAACACACTCTCATCCACTTCCTTTTCACCATCATTTTTACTCAGCTTCAGGTTAGAAACCAAGGGTGTATCTGCAGATTTACAATTCTCCATTCCAAACTTTGTGAGAATTTCATTTGCATACTTTTCTTGATGCACAAATATTCCACTTTTGGACTGAAAAATTTGCATACCAAGAAAATATGTCATCTCCCCCAAATCTGTCATCTCAAATTCAGATTGCATGGATTGTTTAAACATCTTCAACTGGTCTGAATTGCTCCCTGTCATCAGAAGGTCATCCACATACAATGACACCACAATTAGATCACCTTCAGCTTCTTTGACATAAAGGGTATGTTCGTTTGGACTTCGTACATAGCCTAGGCTGTTAAGATGCTCATTTATGCGGCTATACCAGGCCCTAGGTGCCTGTTTTAGGCCATACAAAGCCTTCTCTAGCAGGTACACCTTCCCTTCTTCACCCTTCACCTGGTAGCCTTCAGGTTGATCCACAAAAATCTCCTCCTCCAGGTAGCCATTTAGGAAGGCAGATTTGACATCAAGTTGGAAAATTTTCCAACCAAATTAGGCTGCCATGGCAAGAATCAACCTTATAGTATCATGTCTAGCTACCAGAGCAAATGTGTCAGTTTAATCCATCCCTTGTTGTTGTGCAAATCCTTTTGCTACAAGTCTTGCTTTGTGTTTGTGGATTGTGCCATCAGGATTTAACTTTAGTTTGTAAATCCACTTTACCTGAATTATTCTTCTATTTTCAGGTCTTTCAACTAGTCTCTATGTATTGTTCTTCTCAATCATAGAGATCTCTTCTTGCATAGCATTCTTCCAAGCATCTGATCCAGCAGCTTCAGCATATGTTCTTGGCTCCAATGCAGCCACATTGCACCTTGCATAGACATCAGCCAAGGTCCTGGTTCCCCAAACTGATGATTCCTGATCTGCTTCAATTTCACCTTCATCAAACACATTTTCAATCGGCTGCTGCATGTACCTGTCAACCTCAATCTGTTTACTCTCCCAATTCCACATTGCATTTTCATCAATCCTTACATCCTTTGTTATCACAATCTTCTTTGTTTTAGGAATGTACACTCTGTAACCTTTTGATTGACTGCTGTAGCCGATGAGAATACCAACTTCAGCTTTATCATCTAGTTTAGTTCTCTTCACTGCTGGAACCATGACATAACTTACACTTCCGAACACTTTTAAATACCCCACTGCAGGTTTAATTTCAGTCCAAGCTTCAACTGGAGTTTGTCCCTTAACTGACTTTGTTGGCAGCCTATTCAGAAGATGAACTCCAGAGTTTACAGCTTCAGCCCAAAAACACTTAGGAAGTTGTTTTTCTGCCAACATGCACCTAGCCATCTCCATGATGGTCATATTTCTTCTCTCACTAACCCCATTTTGCTGTGGGGTGTATGGTGTAGTAAATTGATGCTTGATTCCAGCTTCAAGACAAATAGAACTGAATTCTTTTGAAGTAAATTCAGTTCCATTGTCACTTCTGAACACTTTGATCCTTGCTCCAGCCTCATTTTCCACCATCAGTTTATACTTTCTAAACACTGCAGGAACCTCATTTTTCAGCTTCAAAAAATACACCCAAGTCATCCTTGTATAATCATCTATGAAAAGTATAAAATACTTGCTTCCTCTCAATGATGCTGTCTACATAGGACCACAAACATCTGAATGGATTAGCTGAAGTTTTGTTGTTGCTTTCCAGGACTGATCCGAAGGAAATGAAGGTCTACTCAATTTGCCAATTTGACAAACACTGCAAATGGTACTCTTTTCTTCAATCTCTGGTAAGTCCTGGACCATGTTCCCTTTCTTCAGCTCTTTGAGGGCATTATAATGGTAATGTCCAAGTCGTTTGTGCCACATTTCTGACTCCTCCTATCTAGTTAACAAGGCAGATTCACTGGTGGTTTTCCACTCAACCGGAAAACTTTTCCTTAGCATTTTTACCCTCATCAATTCGACTCCTCTAGGGTCAAGTATTGTACATGCTTGGTTCTCAAAATGCAAGGAATAACCTTTCTCTATCATCTGCCCAACACTCAATAAATTTTGGCTGAGTCTAGGAACATACAACACATGAGAGATTAACTTTATACCTAACCAAGTTTGGACAGCAACATCTCCTATGCCTTTAATCTCCATGAACTCACCATTTCCAATCTTTACTCTGGAGCAATATGATCTATCTAGGTTCACAAAATTTTGCAGGTTTGCAGCCATGTGATTTGTGCAGCCGCTGTCAATTAGCCAAGCTTCACTGCTGGTTTGTGCCGTGTAACAAGTGGCCACAAAAAGTTGTTCAGTCTCTTAACATTATTGCTGATCCTCTCCAATTGCTGCTTGCTGTGTTGGCTGGTTTCCTTTGTTCTTACACACCCTTTCAATATGCCCGAATTGCTTGCAACTTCTGCACTGTATACCAGGCCTGAACCAGCATCTTATCTCCGAATGCCCTTTCTTTTTACAATGAGTACAGGCTGGAAATTCTTTCACTCCACCAGCCCTTTCCCACTGATTACTACTCTTCTCTTTCCCCTTTCTATCTCCAGCATACTTCCTTGTTTGTGTCTGTGCAGGTTTGCCTTTGAAGCTTGCAACCAATGCACCCTCACTAATGTCTTCTTGCCTCATGAGTCTCCTTTGTTCTTGCGCTTGGAGAGAATGAACAAGCTCAATCAATGTGATCTGAGTAATGTCCTTAGAGTCCTCCAAAGAAGAAATTTTGGCCTCAAATCTTTCCGGAAGACTTACCAAAACCTTTTCCGCAACCCTTCGGTCAGCCAACTCCACTCCCATAAGCCTGATTTTGTTGACAACATTCATTAGTCTATCAACATAATCCTTTACTTTTTCAGTTTCCTGCATTCTTTGCATCTCAAATTCCCTCCTTAGATTAAGAATCTGCATATTCCTTGTTGTAGTGCTCCCCATGTACTCTTCTCTCAATTTATCCCATGCTTCTTTGGGGTTTTCGTATGCCATGATTCTTGTAAAAACAAGATCAGTCACAGCAGCATGTATATGAGAAAGAGCTCTCGGAGCTTTGGCTGTTTCTTCCTCATGCATCCTCAACTGGTTCAACGTGGGATTCTGTCCAAGTGATGGTGGCTGTCGGTTTTCTTCCACATACTGCCACAGTCCCTGTCCACGAAGGAAGGCTTTCATCTTTACTGCCCAGATGTGGTAATGTTCTCCATTGAACACCGATGGAGCCATCAATGTAGATTGTGTTGCCATGCTCTGTTTTTTTGCGTCTGATGCAGAGGAGAAAGAAGGCAGATGCAGGCTAAGTTTTTGCTAAGAATGGAGTGTGTTGTGTAAACGAAAGGTTTAGAATACTAAGTTTCTGGTTTCTTTTACGTTGGCTCTGATACCAATTGTTGGTTTCAGCCGGAGAAAATGTGAGAGAATGAAAAACAGAGCACCGTAAAAAGAAACTAATTTTGATCAGAAAGCTTGTCATATTCATTGAAGAAAGACAGTATATAGCACTTAACAACTCTCTGCTAATTACACCAACTACAGTAGACATTACAGCTTTCAAAATTCAAAAATCATCACACATATTACTTCTAATACACTTTACTTAAATACCCTTAATTTCCTAAACAAGTTATTACACAAAAGCACTCCCATGCACGTTAAGAACACTGCTACATGTAACCTTCTGCATCTTCCAAACACAAACTTGTAGACTTGACCACTTGAAACATTTCCAGCAAAGCATCACCACATCAACAGATAAATTATTAATGGTTGTTAGTAAGTACAGAGAAATTAACTTAAGATGATCTTTGGGTTGGTTCTTTGTTTTTTTTCTTGACCTCTTGGACTATCGGTGTAGATAGTGACAGATTAACATAAACAAATAGCTGTTGCTTTTATTTGAGCCTGCGCTGAATAGATAATTTCAACGTTTATGCATCTTAGTATTGGTTAAAACTGGCTAATGACTCTACAATTTCCTTGACTATTTATTCTTTTGTATTTACTTTTTCTGGAGAAACAACAATGTTTTACTGCAACTAGTTAAAACCTAGAAATTTTTAATAGAGTGTTCAATCAGCACTGTCAAGATAATTTGCTTTGAAATTTGATATTTTAACTACACTTGCCATGTTTACTTGTTGGAATTGTATTGATGGGGAAAGGGAAAAGGAAAACGGTAGAGATTCGAATAGTGAATGAAGGATGAAATGAATTATGATTCTTTTGTTTACTTATAAGATTGAATATTGAGGGAAGCAATGATATGTGTGATAAGTGATTAAAATACCCTCATCATTAAATATTCAAGGTAAGTTAATAATATTAATTATATTTTTAAACAAAGAATTAATACTATTTTTATAAATTCATTTTTTTTTTTTTTACTTTAACAATAGATATTCTAACTAAAAAATAAAAATGTAATGACCAATCAATGATGGTCAATCCCAGACACGGCGGCCGGTCAACAGTTGTCGACGCCAGTCCATTGTTTGACAAATGTCAACATTTACAAATACTGGTGTTTATAATCAAGAATTATTGAAACTAGTGACAAAATAGACTATGAGGTTCCATCTTCCAGCTCTTTCCTTTCTATTATAAAAATCTATGAAAGAAGTGATACATAAATTATTGATCGGGTGTGCTTTCACAGGGGACTTCTTTAATGGAATTCTTCACATGTTGTGTTGGTTTTAGCATGTTCTGAGACATCTTATTGTAAAATAAACTTGAAACATATTTAAAAGAATATATTATTGAAATCATCAAACTTTGTATTTGTCCAACGACTATACGTAATACTAAGATTCTGCTCTTGATTATATATATTTCTTATTTCATTGACTATAACAGCTGTGTGGAGATTCCCAATGCTGATCCAATGCAACGGTAGATCAAATATCAATTTCGAATTAAATAATTTTGAAGATGATGATTAAAAAACTCTATTAACAATTTTTAAGGTTCCAAATTATAGGGAAAAAAAATATATATATTTATATAATTGCTTATATCTAATTCTCAATTCATAGTCCAATCCTCATTATACTTTCTCATGGAGCTCATATTCTCCAACTTCTCAATCCCTCTCACCTTTCTTCTCTTTATCCTCATGGTCCTGAAAATAGGGAAGACATTCAAAAACAATAATGAAACTTCAAATCTACCTCCAGGGCCACTGAAACTGCCTCTGATTGGAAATTTGCACCACTTGTAGGCTCTCCACCAACTCGCAGACTCAGAGATTTGGCCAAGAAATATGGACCCCTCATGATATTACATTTGCATCAAGGCCTTATAATCCAGCAACAAGTATCATCTCTTATGGTTCAACTGATGTAATATTCTCACCATATGGTGATTATTGGAGATAGCTAAGGAAGATTTGTACATTGGGATGAACCTAAGAGTTTTATTCCTGAGAGGTTCATTGATAGTTCTAATGACTATAAGTGTAACACCCCACTTGAGGTACGTAGTTAAGATTTGATGAATGGTTCGAATGTTTATCGATTTATCCTTAGTTGAGTCTGTATGTTGTTATTATTGTTTGGTTTATCCTTGGATGAAAAGNTTGACATCTGACACTGTTAAATTAAAATCTATATCACTGTATCATTCTAATATTTCATGACCCTTCAGCTTAAAAAGCAAATTTTTTCTCATAGCATTTTGAAATGATTTGAAACTTCAATAACTAAATGATCACATGTTAATGTACAACATGATTGTCGTATGTGAATCTACAGATATCTTTTGTTATTGAGATTTTACAGCTTTGTCTTCTCCATTCACTTCCTCGTGTAAAGCCCGGGCTGCAGTTATTTTCAAACTTCATGCACACGCAGCCTTAGCTATAACTTCAGTAACGGGACTTATTCACCTCAGAACACAGGGCATCCTTCAACTTCAATCCCTGGAGCACTAGGACAGCCTGCCAATGGACAATGGTCACCGTTATCGAGACCCCACCAGTCTGGACCAAAGACATCATGGGATTGAACGGCGAAATAGATCAGTACACCCATGAAGGCAAGTCCTGCATCTAAAGCAGCCGATAAGATATAGTTATGTCTAGCCCACCATCCCTTGTACTGTTTGAAAACGAAATAGTTGAAGAAAATTCCAACAGCTGCCCAGCTCCAATAATGTACAGGTTTATTAAATGGCAAGCCCCCTGCTCCTCCAAAGATTAGGGGCATATGGATATACTTGATCCATTTCTTTTCAGGAAATTTGCGCGAAAGCAGCCATACCGGAACTGGGGAAAGTAAACCAATCAAGAAGAACCAGTTTATCTGTGGGTATATACCATGGTTTGTGAACATTCTAAGTGGTCCGACAACTCCCCAGATGATTGAAGCATTGTAGAAAAGAACATCGCCAGGGCATGTCCATGGACTCCCCTTTGGTAGTAAATGTTTGTTACATATGTGAGGAATAGATGTAAGAAGCCACCATGCTGTGCCGTAGCAGACAGTTGAAGCAACTAGAGTTCCCACTAACTAAAGGTACATATTGACAAAATTAAAATAAATTATATATATACAGAGATAGCAATTAGCATAAGCTCTGTGAATAGTTGAATTACCTGAACAAAGAACATGGATCTGGGAGGGATTTTCATATAGTGACCTAATTTGAAATCGCCAAGAAAAAGGAGGGCCTGTGACATGCTGATGTAGCCATAGGTCTTGAAAGCCACATTTGCAAGGGGCTTACCGGGATACATATACCCGATAATCAGCTCTGTAATCACGTTTAGCCCTGGTTGCTGCAGATTAACACATCATTTAGAAACAGCTTTTTATGCATATATTGAAAATAATTTGATACCCTAATGGTTTTTATTTATAATTATATAGAAATAACACGTAATTGGGCTAGCAAGTACCATGTTAGTTGTGGCTTGAATCACACCGAAAGGTAATGTGAAAGAGAATGCCAGGGCACAACCTAGCACAATTCCCCACCATGGAAGTTGAAGCTGTCTACCAAACCCTTCACAGGTAAAGATTGAAAGAGCAAATGTCACTATTAATATAATGTGGAACCACCACTGAGGTACTTCTTTGTAGTTTTTCTTCATCAGTCTTGTGTGCACATCACTAAACTGATCTTTAACTGCAGAAGTTGTTTTTTTCCACATTGCCCAAATTTTTCTGCTCATTGTTTTAACAAGGAAAACAAAATCATTATTACCAACATACTACAAGAAAATTCGTTCCGAGGAAAGAAAAGAAGATGATAGAATGAGATATTGAGATGTTACTGAAGATTCTTACTTTCCTTCGAAGAGTGCAACATGTGACAAACAAGCCAGTAGTGTTGCAAAGCTCAATCCATAGCTGAAGGCAAACACAACACCGAGGTAGACTTTGCTATAATTTTTATAGCCAAAGTGATCAAGATCAAAATCTTTTTGATTGAGGACTCGGGTAACATTGTAAAGTTGGCCAGCAGAGTCATAGGTGTATGGAGAAACTATGGGAAATCGCTGGGCTTCATAAAGATTTGTATAATAAGCAATGGGAATAAGAACATAGAGAAACAAAACAAATCCACCAAAGATATTGGCAATGGCGAAGAAGGGTGAGGCTAGGGGACTTCCCATGTAAGCGACAGTAGACCAGTCAAGGCCAAAGGAGCCAATGCCGAAGCCTTGGAGGCCTGAACCAATATGTTGAGCTGTTACTGAATTCTTCCATATCCAACATACAAAGGAGAGAGCTGACAGTGTAGGGAAAAGATAGCCTGGCACAGTGTAGTACGCGAAGCTTGATATGAAAACAAGAAGGAAGAACTGTAGTCTACTTAGTCCTCCCTTGATTCTCTTTTCCGTCTCATGTAATGCTCTGCAGTTTGCATGTTTATCAGTTTCTCAATACCAGAAAGTAGCTCTTCATTGAACTTCATCATCTGCCATATGATTTTGTAAAAATATGGGAGAGAGAGCATGAGTACCTGAACAGGGAGACTTGAACCAGGTTGATAGGCCACCACATGTAAGGGGAGTCAACAAGGTATTTTCTGAATAAACCAGCCCACCCGTATCCTAGCAGCTGAATTCCATTAAAAAAAAAAAAAAAAACCTCTTAATAAGATGTTATTGTACAGTTATTATTTTTGGTATCTGTTGGAGAAAATTCAATGGCAGCTGAAAGTATTTCAAAAAAATTATTTAAACCAACCTGAGTAGTTTGTACAAGCAACATAGCTGCTACTGCATTCAGAGGTCTGAGATACAGAGCCTTGACAATTGTAATTATGTTTACTGCATAAACACCATTCGATCCACAGCTGGCAAAAATTGTGATCAACACATGTTCTTTGATATTGAAGGGCCCTGGATTCAATGAAAAGGACCACGGTGTGAATGGAACGCGAATTGGTTTTGTTGGAAGCATTGCAGCCATTAGATTTCCTGCTGGGAGCACAAGAATTTGCGCTGAAACTGGGCCAACATTTAGAATATTCTGGCGATATTGAAAGAATTGGTTCACAAAGGCAAGCAAGGCACATGATATTATCCCCAAAACCCATGTTCGAAAGGTTAACGCTGGCATCGAAGGATCATCAGTGATAGGAACCGTAAGCCTCACTTCCTCAATTGGGTTGTCATTAAAGTTCTCATCTTTCTCATCTCCTGCATCAACAAATTGACAATAACATGACTTGCTAAATGTAATTACAACATTGTGCAACAAACTGCCTGCTTTCACACTTCTAAAGAGTGACTAAAACGTAGGCCAAAGTCTGCAAAAAACATTTCTTATATATATAAATATGCAGCATTCATCAAAATCATGCATGAAAGTCCAGTTTTGAGGGAGAGTGAAAAAAAAATTTACCATCTGCATAAATATCAGTTTGTTGTTTCTTCTCAGTCTCAAGTGACTTGGCATCAGGGACTCCATTTTCAACAAAGCTTCCCATCTCTCCCTTTCTCTTCAGGGACAGAGATGGCAATGCTTATTAGATTTACAAATGCCAGTAGGGATACACATTTATAGATGCAAGTACTTGTCTTCACTATAGTTTCTTGTTTTAAAGCTATTATATCGTTTTCTAAGTTAGTACGCCAAACATTAACTTCATTCATTAAATATTAAGCCTATATTTCTTGATGTAGTTGGCAAAGAGTAAAATATTTTCAATTATATATTTCAAGTTGTAAGCCACTGAAAGAAGTTTCATATATTAGCTGGAAACATTTCCACAAAAAATCCCTTTCCATGCATTTATTTCTAAAGATTCGTGATGGAAAAATCTTGTTTTCATGCATTTATTTCTAGCAATAATGCTGATCTTATCACATTTTCATTTTCTGCATTCAAACTTGCAATTTTTTTGTCTTTCTCTTATGAGGGGCAGTTAAAAAAAGCCCCAAGAAATCTTAGATATATCAACTGAACCCCACCACACTTCTATCTAAATGCCATGGGGACAATTGTCCCCACTCACATGATAAAGGGTAGGATAGGACCATTCTATTCTATCTAGGAAGCCTTTTCACATATGTAATGCCTGCCTAATATGTTAGTCCTCTTCTGAAACTTGCAGAGCTTTGAATATATCCCTTGTTTAAAATAATTGAGATTTTCGATATATTATCTATAAGTCTTTTTGTAAGAGCAAACCACAGAGCTGACTGTTCGGCTAACCTTTTCGTAAATAATATATTTTATGTTTTAGTTTGAATTTTTGGTTATTATTATTATACTTCGGAAATACACATGAATATATAGACGGGATGAAATCCTTTCCCCTTGGGGAATAGCAAATACCAGATGGCCGGCATATTAGCCAGTGTAGATTCTGGTTGCTGTTGACTGTTTGTTCTTTATAGCATTGTCTTCTCTGGAAATCTGATCTGTCCGGAAAGAATGGAGTTAAAAACTTAAAAAAAAAAAAAAAAATAATAATAATAATCAAAGAAAATGGTGAGAAAGATGTGAAATCCTTGTCTTTAGAAAACTGTTGGTGAAGTTTACAAGTTTGATAAGATGTTTTACTTGTCTCATTTCTTGTTGCAAAAGATGGTTCCAATGTGAATAAGCTGAAGAAAACAGAAAGTTTTAATTAATTTTTTTTTTTTTTTTTTATAGTTTTCTGAATGCAGGGATGGCGTACCATTGAATTTGATTTGTAATGATAGTGTTCTTGATTAAGAGATGTTTAACTGGTGTTTAATCTCTTAATCGCGTGACGGGCACGTTGATTTCGATGAATTTGTACTAACTAAGATGGTGATTAATTATGTTAATAAACAATTGTAGGCCTTGAATATGAGTTTGTGTGACTGAATTATCAAGATAGATATAATAATTAATATCCTGAATTATATTATTTCCCACTATGTTGACTGATAAGCTGGTCCATCTCAATCCTTTCTTGTTCTCTTGTTCACAATCCTGCAAGTTGCCATGTTACAGACTGTAGAAATATGGAGCCTTTTATGGTGAGAAGCCAGTTTTCATGCTTGAAATCTGCCATAATGTATAAATTTTTATAGAAATGAGATGACAGTTTCTCAAAATTTTGTCAGAAATTTTGTATTCTACTGTGATCTTTGGCTGACATAAATCAGCTAGCCCATACTGTATAAAATATTTTCTTTATATAAAAGGATTATCTCATGAAAGGTGGGGAAGTTTTTGTTCATCTGTTTTTGGGTGGATGGCATGAAACCAAAAATTAAACTTGTATGGGTTAATGTTAAATCAAGGTTCAACCAAGAAGATATTGTCAGCTTTGAGTCCAAGCTTACACGGATTTGCTTTTGAGTTTCACACAAACATCTTTTACTCAAAACGCGTCTACTAATTCCTGAAATTTTGCTAGCAATGTGACAAATCCCCCAACTCTTAGATTTCGCTCCCTTGTGAGTTGTGAAGTCATTACAGATGTCCCTGATGCTAGGATATAGACAATATATACTTGGTTGGATCCGGATAATTATGATAAAGGTTATTTGTCGAAAAACAATTTTCAGCAATACTAATCTTACAAAGACAAAAACAAAGAGGACATACAAAGACAATTTTCACCCTTCATCTTCATGATTTCTCTCTCTCTCTCTCTCCCTCTTTTTTCGTTTTTTCTTTGTTTTTTCCTTCCTGTTGATGTCACTTTGTAACCCTCTTTGTATTGTCTTTGTAAGGATAGCATTTTTCAACAATTTTATACTTTTAAAAGTCTTGGTCATCTTTGGAGTGAAAGGAGATAATGAAAGAGTTGAGAAACGTTTTAAATCTGAAAAGCCCGCAATTTTAGACGTTCAAATTACTGTTCTTTGACTGAAATGGTACCCACAGGTTTTGGTACCACAGTGTGTGGAATATTTGCAGCACGGGTGGTGTCTGAGGCTGGGTAGCTTTAGGTTCTGTTTGATTCTTTTAATCAGAGTTACATAGATTGATTGCTTTTAGCTTCTTGTATTTGACCTCATCCTTAGTCTTGTGGCTAGATCAGGAGTATGTGATTGTTCATTAAGGTAAGGGGCAAAAGCTTGAAGACAAAAAAGAATACAGCCGCATAAGCGGCTGCAGGTGTGGCCTCATTGCCCACCTCAGACAGCCGAAAAAAGAGAAAAATAATAATCCCATTATACATAGGAAGTATCACAGCCGGGATAATCTTGTTGAAGATCTCACATCGACTAAACACGCTTAAACCAACTTGTTTATAAAAGAAAATAATCATTCCATTCAATAAGGTCTTATTGGGTAAGGAATTAGCTACCAACGGTGGATTGTCAAACTACCTCTAATCGTATGCATGACCCTCGTATGGGCTTGACTATGAAAGAGAGTGTTGGAGATCTACATAAGTCTTTAACCGTGAGGGTGAGGGTTGGAAACCATAGAAAAATCTTCCTTACATCATATGTAGCAGGTTGCAAAAGCCTACTATGCAACTGAAAAATCTATTGTATATCGGACGTACCATATTTTAATTCATTTTAGATAGTGAAAGGTCTATTGTATATCAAGTCATCAACCGTATCACGTTATTTGTGTTATGTCAATAAAACTCCAAATCTTAACCATCAATGTGAATGGTAGCTTTGAAAATGGTTTTCAACATGACAGTTGTATAGAGAACATAGCATATGCAGGATTTATGATAGGTGATGGGTACTTTTATATTAAATATTAAAAGTAAGAGTAAACCACTTTTTCCCACCCAAGGTTTGCCTTAATGACACTTTTCCACCCAAAAAAAATTTAAAATACCATTTTTCCACAGAAAGTTAATATTTCATTACTACCCAAAGTCGATTTTGACGACAAAAATTCTCTCCGTAACCATCATTTGAACCTTCGGTCTCCTTTCTATAAAACCTCTCTAACCTTGACACTTAATTTCTCGTCGATTACTGGCTATTGTAAAGCTAGGGTTTCTTGTTCTGAGCTGATTTCCAACGACGAATATTCAATTGGTCACCACCATTCGATCTATCGGCCTCCATTCTACAAAAACCCTCTTACCTTAGCTCCTAGTAACTTGCCCAACACTGACTGAGAAAGTGAAGTGTATTTTGAGTATTAATGAAATATAAACTTTGGGTGAGAAAGTGATATTTTAAAATTTTTTGGGTAGAGAAAGTGTCATTAATTAAGGCTAACCTGAGGTGGGAAAAAGTCGTTTACTCTTAAAAGTAATCGGTCTTAGATATCTCAATTATTTAATTTCAAAGGATTTGATTTATCAAGTGAAAGTGGACTTAGTTACTTCCAAGTACTAAAAGAGGCTCTCTCATGGCCTTGAATGTGTAGTGGTTGAGATAAGGATGCGCCAAAAGTCCAATTGTACATATTGATTTAACTCCTAATCTTGATTCTCTTAATTCCACTTTAAACATGTCTATTTAGTTGAGATAATGTCGATCTTACGAGTTGGTATCTATTTTCTATCGTTAAAGATATCCAAAATCTTACCAGTTGTGTGCACTGTTCTTTTATAAATGATGAAGACCATTAGCTAGTCTATTATTAATAGATATCTAATGCTAATGTTAGGCAAGTTTAATAATGGTGAAAGGGAAGCAATCTAGGTGGGCGTTGGATGTTGAAATAAGAGGTTAGAACCATTTGTCACTTTCTTGAACAGTTGGTTGTCTGTCACTTGCTCTTAGATTCCATGACACTACCTGATCCAAAGGCCCTGGAATAATTCTTAAAACTAGGTCATCGGTCCATTTTGGCAGGTGTCACAGGTCCATAATATGTTGATGTGACTCATTTTTATTATTTATTTTTTAATAGAGTAAACCATTTTTTTTCCATCCATTAATAACTCTTTTTCATTTACAGATATTTAAAATATTACTTTATTATCCAGATTTATAATCTTTTCTGATTTCAATCTCGTTGTAATTATACACCTGACCCCTCAAACCCTATTTTCGTCGACCCGACCACTTATCGACAATCGAGCAATTAGAGTTTGTGCAACCACCCACTCGCAAATCAAATTCTGATCGATCCCAACCAGTAAAATCTAACCTTCTATCATCGAAAGACTCATCAACCTCCCCTCTTAAAAAAACCCAATAGCTTAGACCAAATTTGCTCTCTGTTTGCCACCGTAATAGAGATTTAGATATTGAAGTGGTAGTTTAAAAGTCTGTGGATAAGAAAATATCATTAATCTATTATTTGGGTAGGAAAAAGTTGTTAACTCTTTTTAATAATCTTATCATGTGCCTTTAAAACATTCTCAGTGTAACTCTATTTTACATGCAATAAATGTTATTACTTATAAAAGTTTTTGATATTTGATCAAGCCAATACTCATACAAGCAAATCCATTTGTTCAAATCACTCGGATTTTGGTTACCGTCCAAGACAACCTAAACTTATTAACAAATTACATGCGAATAATATGCACAATCTGTATCATCCTTGGAGATTGAGAAGGAGAATTTCTCAAGCTTTCTCAGGCATTTAAGAAATGTCAAAGCACAGGCCATCCGGTGGACTTCATT